CACACACACACACACACACTAATCTACACACACCTATACAGACACACACACACACACAGACACACACACACACACACACTCTGGGAACTGTGTTTATTCGCTGTGTCTCCTGTAGTTTATGGACAAACTGACTGTGGGTGGTCCATGGTAACAGGGACATTAAGGCCTGTTGGGTTTTTTTTCCTGTCCTGTAAGACTTGTTTTGTGCAACCTGTGTTATTTTAAGGAAACATTAACTGGGACAATCTTTGTGCGAGGTTTGATGGTAATAATGAGATACAAGTCTTGTTATTATTAAGATTACACTGAGTAATAATAATTTTTATTTTGGTGAATACATTGTGCTCCTCCTTCGTCATCAAACCTTTACAGTAAATATTCCAATGAGTATCTTCAGTTCATTATTCAGAATATTCTCTCAGATAACAATAAAGGACAAAGGGGAACCAGCAGAGATACGAGCACTAACGCAGTCTGCAGATATCAGCGCACTCAACTTCTTGTTGAACTTTATGTTTCCTGATGCTGGGTTTGTAAACACTAACTGAGCTATTAAATCAAGAGTTAGGTTTAGGACGCCCGGAGCTTTCCACAGACCTGTTGCTCCATAGCTCTTGGCAGCGTCCGACTTCTGGCTTCAGCTGGAGCCAAAGTAAATAAACCTGACCTGACTGAATGTTCAGAGTCTCCACTCGCTCCCTGACAGCTGGAAGTTGAGGAAATGAAGGAGTGTTGTATCTGGATCAGTGTGTTCACATGTCAGGATGTCTCATGATTAACATGATCCACTGCCAACTTAGAGAGGAACCGTTGAGTTCATTCATCCCTTCACCACTGACCTGGTGATCATACTGGTATCATATGAAACTAGATGACCTCACACATAGGAAAGGGGAGGAGGGGGGCTCTAAAGTTGGACTAGATTTTGTCCATGGAAAAACTGGAATGGCCATTTTCACAGGGATCCCTTGACCCCTGACCTCAAGATATCTGAATAAAATTGGGTTATATGTGGTGCCCAATACAACAATACAAATGGCCTATGTCGGCCACTAGGCCCCACCCAACTTACTGAACATCGTGACGCAGTAGGATGTTTCTGCTGACATTTTTATACCTGATTATTAGTGATTGATGTTTCTAAAAATAATTACAGTGAATTACTGTTTAAGATGGTAAAAGAAGTTTAATTGTCCTTTAATTGTCCCTTCTTTTCAGCCTACATTGAACCTGACATCCAGTTCTGCCACAATGATGAAGGACCTTCAGAAGAGAAGGAATCAGACCAGAACAAAGATTTGTCTGATCCATCCTGGAGGTCAGCAAATTGTTGGAAACATCCAACAGAGAGTGACAGCGCTGAGTCCACCATCGTCCCATTCACGCAGAGCAGCGGGCCTCGTCACTATCTGTCCAAGAACAGCGACGCCATCGACTTCTTCAACCTGCTCTTTCCTGCATCACTCATGGAGCTGATCACCAACGAGACCAACGCCCACGTCAAGACCTCCCAGTTCCTGGGCTCCTTCTACTTAGACTGGGTCCCAGTCACTACCCACGAGATCAAAGGTTTCATAGGCCTGGTTATCCTGATGGGGATCCAGAACCTACCCGACCCATCGCACTACTGGTCCTGGAGTCACTACGACAACAGCTATACCTTCTACCGAGCCATGAGCTTCAAACGCTTCAAGCAGATTGCTGCCAATATCCGGATGGGCAGCTTCACCACAGACGAGTATCGTGGCACCGGCAAGTCCAGCGACTCGCTCCACATCTTCAGGCCGATGCTGGACACCCTGGGTGAAGCAATGTGGAACACCTACCGGCCAAACTGCTGTCTTGCCATCGACAGGGCGCTGCTGCCCAGCCTGGAGGAGGAGAGCTGCAGCACCAAGGGCAACCCAAAGACCCAGCCTCAGGTGTGGCTGCTCTGTGACTCCAAGTCCGGCTACTGCCACCGTTTCTTCATCCAGGTGGGAGAGAAGGTCGGCCAGGAGCCGGGCTTCACTGTGGTGCCGGAGCTGGTGAAGGGTCTGGAGGATAAACACCACCACCTTTTCCTGGCTAGTTCGCTTACGTCTGTCCCACTCATGCAGAAGCTTCTGGACCAGGGCATCTACGCCTCCAGCTCCTTTCCTCCACCCAACCCCATCCTGCCTGCAGAGCTGTGGGAGGAGGGCCAGCTGGAGAAACCCGGAGACTTCCTGCAGAGGCAGTTTGGTCCTCTGCTGGCCACCCGTTGGAGGGACACCAAGGAGATGGGCTGCTTGTCAACTAATGCAGCTCCAGGTGAACAGGACACTGTTTGGAGGAGGTCTCAGACCAAAGTGGGTGAACTAGACCCCATTGATCGCCCCATGGCATTCCGCCTCCTGCAGGAGAACATGCGAGGGGTTGACATCTGCAAGCAGCTGCTGGCCTGCAACCCACTGGGAGGAATCCCCCAGGACCGACACTGGCGCAGCCTCTTCTGGTTTCTGGTGAACCTGAGCATCGTCAATGCCTTCATCGTGCTGCGGGAGAGCCGCAAAGAGAACCCACCTGCCTGGGTACAAGACGGCCTTTTTACTCAGGTCAACTTCCGCAAACGTTTGGGCAACCAGCTCGCCAAGTGTGCTCAGAAATACTTTGAGACCATTGAGATCGCCAGCTCCCGCGGGATGAGGGTGGAGGTGGCGGACGAACCAGTTAAACACAGACACAGGATGGCAAAGATCAGCCACATCACCAAGAGGTGTAAGAACTGCTACTTGAGGAACATTCGCCGTGAGAGCGTGTTCGGCTGCTTTGTCTGTAAAGCCAACCTGTGCAATCAGCCAAGGTGCTTCTGGGAATATCACGGCCTGTCACCTCTGAACAAAGGTCAGTATTTTATACAGTTCATTTGTTCTATAACTGAGAAATTGGTTTATTGCTGCTTTACACAATTAAAGATACATTTGATGTTTTCAACAGGATCAACTAAAGTTGGATTTCTCAAGGACAGAATAAGGTAATAATTTGTAAATTGAATTGAACATGAGTGTTTTGAGTTAATGCTGTGACCTCTGCAATAATATTGACACCTGTACCTTTGGTTTTCTGTGCTGTAGTGGAGCAGTCGAGGTGATCGAGGTTCAGGACAATGTGGACGGGGCAATGGCCCCTGTGGAGGACTTAGACTTTTCCGAAGATGAGAGACTGGATGATCTGGACGACGTTGATGAAGAAACTGAAGATATTAAGGAAGAATTTCTCAAAAAAGAAAAACGTCCAGTGTCTCACCTGCTGTCAACAACGAACGGCCACGCCCAACCAGCAACCGTCTCGTCTGCCTCTAAAGAACGCGATGATTTCCTCACCGCCCGTCAGCTGAGGATCGCCTTGTTCGCTCTGTGTGACGGACTCCATCAAGCCTCAAGGGTCTTCTCAACTGACACGGAGCTCATCCGGTCCTGGCTGAAGGAGGCCAGGAAGCGTTTGAAGCAAACTGAACAGGAACAGAAAGTCCAAGCCGACGGCGTTGACCGTATGGTGGCCTGGGTACTGTCCATGCGTGAGCAGCAGCTTCCAATTACAGAGAGCAACCTCTTCCACAAAGCCTCTACGTTGAAGAAGAAGGGAGGTTTCAGTGACTCTTTCCGCATCTCCTACGACTGGGCGGTGAGCTTCATGCTGCAGCATCGGCTCGGCATACGGAGCATTGGCAGGGAAGTCACGCTGGCTCGTGCCTTGCCACTTTCCCTGGAGGCAAAGATCAAGTCCTTCAGGGAATTTACCCAGAAGGTCATTCAGGTCAACAAGCTGTCCGAAAGCACTGTAGCTGCAATGGATGAGCTGTGTCTCTTTGTGGACTTGAGGTTAGTTCAGGACAAATCTCGCTGCTCGGAGGCCCTGGAACTCACTGGATCTTTACCTCTGGTCACTGTGTACCTGACGGTGCTGGCCGATGGCACCATGCTGCCGTCCCTGGTGCTGGCGAACAGGGAGCTGGCTGAGAAAGCCCTGCCAGAGTTCATCCTGCTGGAGGCCGGCCCAGAGAGTCTGTTAGTAGAAGAAGCCTTGGATCTCTGGACTAACAAAGTTTGGCTACAGCATGTGTCTGGTCCAACTCAGCCCAGCAAATCAATGCTGGTCTTGGACCGACACCGGGAACACTTAGGAGATTCATTCCTTACTTCCGTCAGTGGATCGGGTACTCTCCCGGCTGTGATTCCCGGAGGCTGCTCCTTCCATCTTCAGCCCCTGGAGATTTGCATGAAGCCAGTTCTGCAGCGCTTCCTGCTGTCACGCTGGGCAAAGTTCACCGCTGGAAACCCAAAGGAGCTGGAAGAGCCGTCACCCCAACAGCTTCAAGCAAACGTCGCCCAGCTGCTGGTTAATTGGGTGGTCGAGGCCCTGACACACCTGAACAAACTCCCACTGCTTTGGAAGAAGTCGTTTCATGTGACGGGCCTCCTACCGTGGCAGAAAGAGGTGGTGGAAAAGACAATGAGTCAGAAACCAGAGGAGATCCAGTCAGACCTCCTCAATACCCTGACAGAGACCCTGCTGGGGGCTGGAGCTCTGGAGGCCAGTTCTCTTGAGCTTCTCGAGCTGGAAGACAAAGACAACACTGAGGAGGAACAAGAACAAGAGACGTCAGAGGAGAAACAGCAGGACAAAGAAGAAGAAAAGGGGATTAAAGAGGACGGGGAAGAGACAGGGAAAGAGATGAGGGAGGACAGGAAGGAGATGGAAGAAGAAGGAGAGGAAACAAAGGAGAGTGATGGGCTGGAGGACACGGAAAAGGAAGGAAAAGACGTAATCAAATGTGTGGAAGACAAGGAGGAGACAGAAAGGGAGCGCAAGGAGGCAGATGATGACAGGCAAGAGGACATTAAGAAGCTAGAGGAGGACAGTGAGGAGGAAGGAAAGGAGACAGAGCAGGACAGGAAGGAGATGAGCAAGGAGAGACGAGAGACCAGGATAGTGATAGGAGAGGAAGTCGGCGATGAGTGGAAGATAACCGTAAAGAGCAGGACTGAAAACGCCGAACCTGACGGAGAGGATGATGTCAGGATGGACGAAAGCTGACGGACAATGATAAAGGTCCGTCACACCTGACTGAGTTGTCCCCAACAGGCACCAGAAGGGACTGGATCTCCGCGGTGAGGTGGTGGAGTCGCATCGAGCTCAGACGGGAGAAGCGAGCAGCAGCGAGTCCCGCTGACTGTGACCACAATACCTGTCGAGGCGGATTAAACATAACACACCTTTCATACCACAGGTATCGCATCGCTCCCTCCAGGAAAATTATTTCACTGCAGCTTTTCTAAAAGAAATTCTCCACATTTCAGGAACCCCTCGTTCCAGAGAGAATTAAATCTCTATAATCTAATTTCTGGGATGTATAAGGCTGATTTAAGAGCAATATGGCGGCCAATAAGATGAGTGTTTAAGCTGGGATGAAATAGAGTTCCAGTGAGAATAAAACCTTGCTGTGATCGGTGACACTCACAGGAACAGTTGCAGTGATTTGATCAAATTTTTCACGAAGAATTCAACAGGATTAGTTAGATTTACGTTACTTCCTGCAGCTTCTTGGAGAGACTGATCCGTGATCTGCCTCAGACGCTGAATCCTGGAGGTGGAACAATGAAACTGAGAAACTGCCCTCAGAGCTGATATTTTAGTTTTCACTTTAATTCAGTAGATATAGTCGCATCTAGTGGACATTAGAGGAAGTGCAGCTGCGTTGGTTGCCGCCTGTTTGAGTCCATTTTCCAGAACCATGAACAGATTAAAACACGGTTTGGG